ATATAAAAGATTATCATGCGTGGTTGTTCTGTTTACCTTTTCAGATTTTTTTTCAGCAATATCAATTTAATTCTACAGACTAGAATACTTGAAGATTCTTGAAGTGAAGAAGAGTTGATGTGAAACAATGTTTGCATTTCCTATGTTTTTGAATTATGTTTTTAAATCTTATAGATTGTTACAATATATCATGTATAAAAGGAGAATTATTATTATTGAGAGGAATTTATGTATTAATGTAATGAAGGAATGTCAAACTATTAAATGTCAGGTGAGTTGAACTTTAGTACAAGATAATGTATTACCAACTCATCTTGCCACATCATCGTGTGACAATTCATACTTATATGGATGGCCATTCAAATGTTTTGATGTTAGCACTAAAATTAAGAAGTCAGTAGCTGACATAATTTCAAGGAGTTATTATGCCTTCAAAAAAGTTTTCAAATATGCATTTATGCGGTCTTTTTTATCCTATTTTATTCTCCATTATGTATTCTCTTAATATATTTCCGTAATGACAAAATTTGTGTTCTTGATATTATAATAATATTGAGAGAATTTTTTCTCTTTGTTGGAGCTTTGAGTCTGACTTTGGTTCTCCTTAGTGTGAGAGTTAGTTACTCTTGTTTATTATAGTTCTCACTTCATCTCATTTCTTCCAAACCTCTTCTACACCTATTACGCCCTAACATCATCCTATCTCCCTTGCCTATCATCCATAGTCTTTACAGAAATTTTAGAAACACAAATCCTGCTTTTGGTTAAGACCAAACTTCCTTCATCTTCATTCTCTTGCAAGATTTTAAACAATTTGAAACTCCACCAACAACATCAGATATCATAAGAAATTCTCTCACAATCATTTGCCACCATTTAACCAGTCTTAAACTATTTTCTTAAAAGTGTTAGATCCAATTAGTTCAAACTAAGTTTATTTGAGCCAGTCTTATTTTTCCCATCTTCATACGACTCTAGGGATGTCCACTTTTCGTCATTAATTTTAGACCTTACCTCCGCATCATAAGCCAATAATCCATATCAATCTCTACCCATTACTCTATTTATAAATCCTCCCACCACATCAATTTTCATGGAGCAAAGTGTGATGTGGAGTTTATTTATTTATTTCTTAGATTTATGTTTACAATCAAAGCCTTTAAAAAGGGAAGTTTTTCATTTAAATAAATAAAGATTAAGGGTCAGAAAATTTAATTAAGGATAAATAAAATAAATATAGAAGTTATAAGATTACAAATTTATTTAGAATAATGTGTTGAAATTAATTTAAAATTTATTCTAATTCTTAATTAAATATAGTGGTTTAAGTAAGTAATTACATATATAAATATTATTCAATCATTACTAGTAATATAATTACTATTTTGTGTATCTATGTCAGACATAAAAAAAAGTACAATCTAAAAATTAAAAGCATAAAGAGGCAAAAATAAATTAATTGGCATTGAGGTGAGGTCTGTTTTTTTTAATCTAGGGTACTATATTATTTATTTAAATAAGTTGCATTGGTAGTTATTGATCCTTGTTAAATCTAATTATATAATTTTATTTTGATTTATATAATTATTTATTTATTGGTCATATCGTGATAAATGTTATATGATTTTAGCAGTATTTATTATTACAAATTATTTAAAAATATATAGATATTATTAAAATGAATAATATGATTTTATAAATGATATGAGTTATATAGATTTATTTGCATGTGAATATGATGAAATTTAGTTCTATATGGTACGAGCTGGAGACGCTAAACTATCCATCAACGTATATTAAAAATGATGATTGATATTGATGTACCTTTATTTAAAAAAAATTAAATGGTACTTTTGTGACAGTTGTAAATGATAAGATAAAGTTAAGAAAAAATTAAATATACTTTACAATAAAATGACAAACTTTCTTGAATGCGCTGAATTTATTAGTAAATTGTCTTTAATTTTGCACTGATTTTTTTTGTGACTAACATTCATATTTTTTTCTTATTTATTATGTTATGGTAGTTTAGAAGTAGGAGTATTTTCTGGCATAGGTCACTATACTTTAAATTAATATTTTTAGGTCTAGGCTTTTGATTAGAAGATGAGTAATAGAGAAATCAATGTGTCTAAAAGACGAGGTCAACAAACATGAAGGTAAATTGATAACAATATTAAGTCAATTTCTTTTCTTTAGTGACTTTTTTCTTACTCTTATATTTAGACATGATAGTTAAATTTCATTTTTACTGTGGTACCTTCTATTCCCGTCTTAAAAATTTTAAACCTCTAGGCCGGATAATGAGATAAATAAACATTGATGATGTATCTTCATTATAAAATGGAGAGTGTTGGATGGCACAAGCATCAAGTAGAATGAGTTGATATTGAAGAATTTGGGAGGGATAATTTGCTGATAAAGGATTGATGGTAAGATGTTGTGAGAAACTGAATTAGGAAAAAAATCGTCATACCTAATGTAATTTATGTCTTCAGAAAGAATGACGGAGAATTCACACTTGAAGATGACAACGACGGAACTTTTCTTTGAAGGCTGCATAACACTATAATTTAACATCATTTTGCCGGTATATAGTTTGAGATAAATAAAAATGAGGACTAGAGATTTAGTAAAAGAGAGCATAAATATGCCTATTATGGAAGTGATAATAGTAAATATTAGATGCTATATACTTTAAGTAGTGTAGCTGATTTTCTTATTTAAGAAATTATTTTGCTAGATTTTTAATTTGAAATATAGTTGAACCTGGAAGATTTATTATTTCGTCCAACATATTCTTATGTGATGCTTTAGGTGAAACTAGGCTGTAGAGTTCCAATTTAAATGCAATAGAGGATTCCAAATAACTGGCATTTGCTATCCTACCAACCCTAACTACAGTAGGAAATAAGCGATTCCATAAGCAAAAGAAAAACAAATGAACCGAGAGTCTAGAGAACTACAAGCTAATTCACAATAGTGAAGCAACAAATCAATCACATAATGAAAGCCAACATGTTATTTCAAGTAAATCTGCAATTTAAGTGAAATCTTGCTTAAATTCTTTCCTAAAGCTGACACCCAACAGCCCGTAAGTGAGTTCCAATCACTGCATAGTTCCTGTAACTTACCTCAAAAACAAAATCATCCATTATTATACTTTCTTGTGGCTATATAAACAATTCATGCAGTGCAAAATTACAGCTGCTTTTCTGAGGTGTTGGAAATATTCTTTAACTACAGGCTGGTCAGTTGGTACCGGAGAAACTAGCAGCATCAAATCTGTCACTGCATTTTACCCCATGCAAGCATCTAATTCCAACGGTACTTGCACCCAAACGAATCCATCCTTTGATTCCATCTGATTGGTTATTCTACCTAACGATGCTGAGGGGGTCTCTACAGTCACTATTGTTATTGTTGGTGTCGGTCCTGATTTTACTACCCTAGGATCTTTTGGTAAAGTGGATGCTTTCGCAGAAACTCTTGTATGTAAAACTATTAATTCCAGTGTCGAAGCCTTTCATCTTTCTATAGATATACTTGTTCTCCGCTTTGATTTGTGAGTGCTTGAAAAGGTTAATGGCTTGGACAGAAGTTGGCAGAGGCCTCCAGGCATTGCAGCAAAGCTCATCAATTCTTCAGCTGCAAATGGTATTTTCATATTCTTATATACACAAATGCGAATTTTTCTTAGGCTTTGATATCCCCCATTTTTTGTAGGCTTGTACTATATTGAATATACTTTGCAAAATCCTGGTGATAGATGCAGGCATATATTCTCAGCCATTGGCTTAGCATCCAATGGATGGTACAATAGGCTTTACACAGTTACCGGGCAGGTGCAATTGTCCAACAAAATTAGAATACTTTAAAGTTGATCTAATTCGGTTTGTTTACCGTGTAATTATTAATTAGCATTAATGTATCTGGTTCTTTTAATTGCAATATATTTTTTTTTAAAGTTCTCTTGAATTCATTGCAGTTCATGGACGATGAGGAAGACAGCTATAAGTCGGCAGTTGAGAAGGTGAGCTCCGATTTCTTTATATTTGTAAGAGGATAGCTTGAACTGCAAATAATTTTATGCACTTTCTCCGCAGTCCGTTCTGTCGTTTAGGTTAATATAGCCATAAAGGAGATGAGCAACTGGCCGCTGGGCTTGAAGCAAGCCATTATTGTATTGGAAAAACATTTGAGCAAAGCTGCTTCGTTTGCCTAAATCTTTGGCTGATTATGTTAATGCTACTGTTTCACTTGTATTTTTTTTTAATGATTAAGTATTTATTTAAACACTCTAGAGAAATATATTTTTCATACTAAAGTAATAAAATCTATAGAAGTTGTCCAGGTCATTTTTTTTCAAAACTGACCTGCGATACAATAGCTACATTTGAGAATGCGCAATTGGTTTCAATTTTTATTTGTAGCCACTTTCTACAAGAAACGGGAAATGCTGCAGATTGGAATTCAAGTAGTAGCATATGCATAAGCATTCATCTTTCAATGTAATTGTAAGAATGCACATGCTCTAATTGCTCATAGCTTAATAGTCGTGTTTTTTATAAAAAACAATTAAGATTTTAGAGCCATGTAATAATTGCATGCTATGTATTTTGGTGGCTAAATTTATTCATAAAAAATTTAAAGTTCACATTTTCTTAAGTTCTTGTGTTACATTAGGAAAATATTTTAAAATTAAAAATAAATATTTGATGGATTTATAAGCATCTTAATTGTATGCTCAAATATATCAATGGAGGTAAATCTGAGGAGACAGACAAACTCTGTTGGAACTAGAGTAAATGATAGTTATTTGCCTGATTCAAAGGGCTTAAGCCTAGGCGGCACTCACCTAATTTAATTGGTCCAAGCAATGAGAGCACACTTCAAATTATAAAAGTTAAGCTGAGGCACTTTTTCAATTTGGAGAGGTCACTCTGCTCCGAAAGCGATCATTTGGGGCTCATAAGAAACTTGTCTATTTTGAAGAGGAGTCGGCAAAATTTTTGAAGTATTCACCAAAGAGGTAATCCATTTACTTAATGGTATTATGTTTATGATAGACATGTCATGTATTCTTTGTTAAATTAGAATATAATCTCAGCTAATGTGCCAAAAATTTATAGGTTTACTATATTTTTTTCACTTTCGCTTCTACAAGAATATTTGATTCAAATTTAGATTGTTACATTTGAAAGAGAAGATATATTACTCTAAATTTTTTAGCATGAGGAAATAAATCCTGAATGTCTCTTTCAGGTGTGATCAACAAATGTTTTAAAAGAACATAAAAACATCTGAGTAAAAAATAAAATTTCTTTTCAAGCCTTAGCATCTTTCATGACCCTTAAAAAGTTGTAACTTTAGAATATGCACTCTTCTTTGTGGCCAAGATTTACATTGAATGATACATGAATTTATTTTACTCAGTGAGTCTACCTGATTACCCACATCAAGAACTATGTTCTAGCAATAGATAAGGCCTATCTAAGGCAAAATTCATAAAAAATGCACAAGAGATAAAGATCATGTAAGACTTGAGTATTAATCATTTGAGTATTTGAGAACCAAACAACTCAATCTAGCATAAACTTAAATAGGCAAGAGGCACAGAGATGGAATGTTTTTGAATAATCACAAATTTCCACTTAGTTTGATCTCATTTACATCTAATATTCATAGGTGTTATATCAATCATTTTGTACTAACTCAATAGGAAATTATCCTATCTTATTTTATTGTGTAGGTAACACTATTTAATGTATTTTAAACTGGCCCTCACTTAAAAGTTATGAATTTATAATTGCATCTATCTTTTATTGACGTCGGGTATGTAAACTTGGCTCAAAAGCTTGGAATATTATTTGATTCAATAGCTTGAAGAATTAAAAACAAAAACTGGGAAATTATTTGATTCAATAGCTTGAAGAATTACAAAGGACATGTAAGAAAAGAAGACTCAAACGTTGGTAGTAAACTCTTGTATCATTGGTTGGTACAAGTAGGCAATATTTTGACATTTTTTGGATGTTCCTAGCAAGCCACCAACTTTTCATGTTAGTATTTAATGTTATCAGCATACATCTTGGACAATCTCTCTTTTTGCCTTGAGAAATCCATGAAAGTTGTTAATTCACTAGCATTGCTCTTCACTTTATACATTGAGAACCCAAAGAAAGTTGCTAATTTATCAAAGTTTTTCTTTTGCTTGAAAGGTCACATTATATAATCATGGCTCCATTGAATCTACTTGCCTTATATTCTTTGAGTTGCTAGGTGAATTCTTTCTCTTTAGTGAGGCAAACTTACAAGTCCTCAACATGTATTTTGACTGACTCATTTGTTTCTGTAAGAGAGGCCTCCTTTTTAGTTAACTAGAATTTTAACATCCTTGCCATCTTTTTAGCAACTCGATATGTATCTTATTCCTTACAAGTGGGCCTCCTTGTTATCATAATAGCAATTTATAGTTTGGAAGCCATATGATAGAACTTTTTATAATGACTCACCAAAGTGAAGTTAGCTGGTCAACACATCTCATAGAGCATTCAAAAGAGAGAGTATGTGAAGAGCTCATGTTGAGTTCCTCTTGAACAAAAGAGGAATATATGGTGCCATTTAATTTCTTGGCTCCTCGTGATGCTTCATCAATAAATATTAGGATAGCCATAAGCGCCATTGGTGGTTCAACTCACTTCTTTCTGAATTATGGATTTTGAAAGGAGTGGTTATTTGTTATATATTCAAACTTAGGACCAATAACTCACCCATGCATCCTCATCTCTTTTATCGTGACATTCAAAGTTTCTAATGATGTTTGAGTATCTACTATTTGACCCAATGAATTCTCTTCAATCATTGAAATTGGTTGAGAAAAATTCATTTCAAATTGGTCTAACTTCCTTGAAATTGTAGCAAGTTGATTTGCTAATATGCAAAAGCATGTGATTTATGAATATTAACTACTTTCTTGGGATTTACCCTCTCAAAAGGCCATTGCAAAATATTAGTATCTATCCCTTCAAATAAAGCATATGCATCATGAAATGATTTTGACATCAATGAACCACCAGCAACGACATCGACATCGATAATATATCGATAATATATCTAAGAGATCCAACTAATCAATTGTAAAAGGTTTGAATTATTAACCAATCTGCTGCGGCATGGTGTGGGCACTTTCTCAAGGGTTCTTTAAATTGTTCCCACGCTTGATAAATAGATTCCCCTTCAAAATGAAAAAAATATGTAATATTATTTCTAATATTCACATTTTCTAATGGTGGAAAATATTTAACAAGAAATTTCTACGCTAAATTACCCCAAGTTCTGATAGATCTAGGTAATAACGCTAATGAGTTTAACCATATCTTAGCCTTATCTCTTAGTGAGAATGGAAAAAGTCTAAGTCGAATAACATCATCCAAATCACCGTCATATTTAAATATAGCACACAATTCTAAAAAAATTAGCAAGATGTAAATTTGGATCTTCAGTTGGTGCTCTCTCAAATTGATTATTTGATATCATTTGAATAATAACAGGTTTAAGTTCAAATGAATTAGCCACTATAGCAGGTTCTTGAATCCTACTTTAAAGTTCATCTACTGTAGGGTTTGCATAATCTCTTAATGATCTAAATTCATGATAAATTTCAGCATTTTGATTTTGGTTTACCATTTCTTGATATTTTTGAACTTTTTCTTTATTTTTTATCTTTTCATTTTTCTAATAGTTCTTTCTAATTCATAATTATAAGGTACTAGTCCTTTAGAGCCTGAACTACCATGAATTCACGAACACAATATAGTTTCGTCGTCTTTACACCAGTGCATTAAGTATTTTAAAAAAGGACAAGAGCATTGCATTAACGGAGACTTACAACCGTTTTCAGTTCATGAAGTTGGTTAAGTTGTGACAAATAAATATTCCACCTAATACGCGTCTCCAAAGAAAAATATATTCTCTCGTTAAGTTGTGACAAATAAAAGTGAAGATTCATAAGAATTACGATGGCAAATCCATTCAACTCCGCTTCAGCAATCTTCCACCACTCTTTTGCACTTTTGACCACTCTTTTGCAACAAGTTGGTGGAGGTTCTTCTAGTTCACACACCCAAGGTCGAGGCCTGGGATGTGGATGAGCAAGAACCAATTTAATTGTTGAACGGACTAGGTTAACCATCAACATTGATGATGAAGAAAGTTCTTAGGATGAAATAATGATGATAAAACAGAAGAAACCTTAGTACGAGATATGCTTGGAAGACACAGAGAAAAGTGAATACGAGATAATGTATGATTGGATAAACCACTATGTGAACACCATGACCCTTACTCCGATTCTCCCTCAAAAGGTTGAGAGTTTAGAGGTCAAGGAGGTCCGTAGCACTAGTTCAAAGCCGATCAAATTTTATCGTGCTTCTACTTTTACTAATCTTGAAAATCATGTAAATTTGGATGAGGATACTAATGAATTAATAAAATTACCTTTTGGTTACTTTTTGCCTTTGTGTAGAAAAATTAATTTAGTAATTCAACAGGGACATTTGCCAAAATAAATGTCAAAAGATAAATTAAAAATTTTTAAAAAATTATGGAATGTTAAAAGTTGAACTACTAACAGATTTAGTACAGTTGGACCAGTCGATGATTCAGAATTTTGCATGATTGTTACTAATAAACCGGAAGAGGATTGCCTCGATGTGGAGGATGACTCTACCGGTCAACTGATAGAAAATGCTCCGCCAGAATTTGAGGAAGAAATGAAGTCAACTGCTGATGAACTGAAGGAAATTAACCTCTGGACGGAAGAGCAGCCTCGACCTACATTTATAAGTTCTCTACTCAACGATGAAGAATCTTTAGAATTGATCAAACTGTTAATAGAATTCAAAGATTTCTTCACATGGAGTTATGATGAAATGTCATGAATGTCAGTAGAGGTTGCAGTTCATAAACTCGAGGTGGACAAGGATATGACCCCAGTAAAACAAGCTCCAAGAAGTGCGCCTCAAGATAGAGCAGCAAGTCATTGTCGAGGTGAACTCGAGGTGAAGAAATTAATAGAAGCTAACTTCGTGCGGGAGGAGAAATACCCCACATGGTTAGCTGACATTGTGTCTATCAAGAAGAAAAATGGACAAATCCGTGTATGTGTCGACTTCAAGGATTTGAATAATGCCTGTTCAGAGGATGAATTTCCATTATCAATACCAAAAATGATGGTGGATATCGCTTCGACACACAAAATTTTCTCTTTTATGGAAGGATCGTCAGGATATAATCAAATCAACATGGCTCCCGAGGATGCAGCACTTACAGCATTCAGAACGCTGATTGGAATTTTTTGCTATAAAGTGATGCCGTTT